CTGCCTGCTGTGTGAAATGTGGGGTTTGCTGTGCAGTTTTTCCAGTCCCTTGGATGCCTGCGGATGTGAGAGGGCATTTGTGTGTGGCAGCCCAGGCTTAGGTGGGGTGGGAGCAGACTCCCTCACCAGCTCTCACTCTCAAAATAGCCATGTCTGCTTTACACATGCCTGCCTAGCGGCTCAGCTCCTGTAAAAGGAGAGGAGAAAATCTGTTTGGAAAAGGCAGGGAGCTCTGTGCCAGAGCCCTTAAAGAGCCCAGGAGGGGAGAGTTACCAGCACACTCCCCAAACTCTCCTCTCACTGTGCTGGGACCCAGAGCAGACATCACTTCCAGGGCTCTTGTTGGGATGTGCCAAGAGAACACTACCACCTTCCCAAATATAGCCCTGCACACAGAGGTGGGAGCAGCGGCTCGGTGTGTGGGGATGGCCGAGCTTCCCCTCCTCCTTCAGATCTGAAACCTCCTCAGGAACATGCTCTGTGCTGGGGATTAAACATTCAGCTACTGCCGCACGCTGCAATGGTGGTTATGTGTTGATCTCCAAAATGCCTTGTGTGCTGGATGAAGTGGAAATCACAAAGTGCCCCCAGTTCAACACACAGTGAGCAGGGGACACAGTTGTGTCCCGTCAGTGCAGACACACCGCCCTGACCGGCAGGGCTGGGAGGATCCCAGAAATCTGTGAGCCGGGAATTTTTTACTTAGTTTGGAAATAGCTTTGCAAATGACTGGTTTCCACAGCCTAAACTGTTTGGATTTTGCATTGCTTTCTCAGTAACTCAGCTGTATTTTTTCCTGCCCCAGCAGTCTGTGGAATAGTTTCTGGTTGGGGAAATATTTATTCCATTTGCTTCATCATGCAACTGCTTTTACCACTCCAGTTCCTCATCGAGCTTCATTCTCTGATCCTGCAGGGAGAAAAACTGATGTCTGTGCTGAGGACCTCATCTCTCTAAATCTCACTGGAGGCTATGCTGAGCCCACTGGGATCTAGACATCAGGCTCAGTGCTGCCAGAGCTGGAATATTTGCCTGCAGAGCATGGGCCATGCCACTGCTGCCACACAGCTTCAATTCTTTAACATGAAAACAGTTACCTTTGGGTACATGTACAGGTCTTTGCAATAACTACACGTTTTGAAGTCATGCCTCCTTAGCTACAGTCCCAGCTCAGGCAGCAGGTGATGTTGTAACACTAAACCAGGCAGAAAGGGTTAAAATTAACTTTAATTATCTGATTCCCCCCAGTCCCACCTGCTGTAAGAGTATACAGCCCTGTGTGCTAACCCAGCCAGGCTGCGCCTGCGCGTGCCGAGGCATCCTGGAAGGCAGGAGGGATGGTTTACACCCTGCTATCCCCATGCAGGGGAAGCAGCAGGAGTACCATAATGCTCTCAGCAAAACCACTGTAGGAGCCTGGATAGGGCTTGTAGCCATTGCAGGGGCTTCACAGAGCTGTATGCATGGTGCAGAGCAAGCTGGCAACTTGTCTTGGCAGCAGGGAGGAGAGCAAAGAGAGCACTCAAATCCAAACCTCTCCCAGGAATTTGTGTATGCTTTGGCTGGGAAGCATCTCGCTGGGAACTGGGTGAAAAGCAAACAGCTCCCTGCATGCTTCCTGCCTGCTTCTGCATCCAGTACAGGGTGATGGCACCAGTGCGAGGGAGCAAAGAATGCTCCGGAAAAATGACCTCCCTTACCCAAAATAGCTTGGAGAATGGTTGCTGGCACAGCAGTGGGGTGCAAAGAATGCTCCAGAAAAACGACCTCCTTTACCCAAAATAGCTTGGGGAATGGTTGCTGGCACAGCAGCGGGGTGCAAACCGTCCGCACACCCTGCTGCCACTCCAGCAAACTTCCCAGTGCCCCAATTCCTCACCAACAGGTCTCCGTGTCACAGGCTGTAATTATCTTGCGTTTCCAACCTGACTGTGGGGCATTCGTCTGTAATTAGCTCTTGGGATTTAGGAGCTGGTATGATCCGAGTTATCGTTAGCCACCAGTGCCGTGCTGGGATTTAAAGGGACAATGCGGCTGTTTGCATACCTACCACCTCAGTGTGCTGTCGTAGGATGCATTAAATAGCAAGATGAGTCTCTCCTCAAAGCCTGTGCACGTCCTCACCCACCACAGATCCCTTTATGGGCAGAGTCCATGTGGTTCCAAGCAAAGCAGAACAGCTTGCTAAAATTTCCGCTGTAACTTTTTGGTCTTGGCCATCACCTTGGGTTTGGTGTTACCCAGCTCAAGGCTCTCGATGAAGGCTACATGCAGCCCCACTAGCTCCACGGTGCCCGCCGTGTTCCCCTGCAAACCATCATTCCCCACGTCCAAGCTCCCCAGCCGTCCCCCCCACTCTTCTCCTCACCCCAGGGGTGTCAGGTGGGATTCCCAGTGTGCCCAGTGCTGGTTGGGCACGTACTCACGGGGTCTAGGGAAGCCAAGGCAGGGCAGCCCGCCAGCCCGCGTCCATCTGTGCTTCTCCGCGGTCCCCGTGGTTTCGCCTCATTCCCTCGCCTGCGACACTCCAGCGGGCAGAAATAGCCCCAAAGCACATGCCACCTTCCGGGAAGTGATGCCAGGGGCCAGGCAGCCCCAGCACCTCGGGCACAGTCCTCCTTTGGGGGCTCCTGTTGGCACTGGCAGCACTAGAGAGTCCAGCCCGGGACCGTGTCAGGGCACAGTCCGGTTATAGCTCCGGTGAGGAACATCTTCATTTATCCACCAAGATAATAAATTCTGCCTTAGAGTTTCTCACCTGGCAACAGTCACCAAGGAAACGAGAACGGCTGCTGCGGGTCCCCCCAGCAGTGTCTGGGGGGTCCCTGCAGTGCTGGAGAGGGGCTCTGGCTGCTCCCTGGCTGGCTGTGTGGGCACCCGGCCAGCCACCCGCTTGTAACCTGAGTCCAGGCCCAGCAGAACGCCTATCCATGCCCTCGCACCGCCTCTCCAGAGCCGAGTGTGAGTTTCACCAGATTTCGGGTGCATTCTGAAATTTTCTCGGCTGTTGATCCTAGTGTCTGTGCATCAGGAGGTGTGAGCTGGAGATGCCTCAGGCTCCTGGGGGGTTTTCCTGACCCTGACACTGGTTTGGCCAGGAATTTTTAACACTAGTGTTAAAAGCAGCAGTGCCCCAAGTGCTCAGAGACCTCTGGAAATCCATTGGTGCAAGAGGGAGATCGGGTCTCTCTGCCCCTCAGGAAGCTGAGCCACTGCCTCCAGGCCTGCCTGACACATGGCACTGCCCTAAATATAGCACCTGTGGTCATGCCTCTTCCCATCCCCTGCCAGGCTGTCCACAGGCAGTGCCACCCCTAGGCACAGAGACAAGTGCTGACACTTCCAGCAAATCATTTCAGCCCTGGTATGGCTAATTCTGCAAAAAGCATCCCAGCCCCATGCTGCCTGTGAACCTGGTGCCAATGCTGGTCCTAGCAGGCTGCTGGCACAGGCACAGGGGCAACTGGGAAAGGCTGTCAGGCTGGGGACAGGGCTCTGACCCTGGGCCAGAGGTGCAGCCACTGCCCCACCATCAGCAGCACGGGGAGACCAGTCCAGCATGTGGCTGTGATATCAAAACAGAGATTCCTCCATCAACCATTAACCACATGTGGCTCCCTGCCCATGGCATGGTTCTGGGGCAGCTCCCTTGCCCATGGTGTGTGCTGAGCTTCCCAACAGCACATGAGGCTGGAGAGGGGGGCATGGGTCCATGCCCACATTGGACTTGCACCCCTGGGGCCATTCTGGAAGCCAGACAGCATCTCAGCATCTTCTGTCTGGGTCTCAGATAGTCAAGGTAGTGCTGCTGGCACTGGGTGGTTTAGCATGGACCAGTGTGAGACAATGGGCTCCCTGTTTGCTCCCCAGTGTGCCTTTTGAAGAGGCTCATGTCCTTGTCCCTCTGGGCACCACTTCCCCCACCCAGAGCTTCTGCAGCTCAGACATCCCTGTGTGACTTCTTCTCCTCCACACACAACAGCGGCAGTGTGCCAGGTAGGGCAGCTCCAGCTGGGGAAAGCAGCAGGAAACCTGAGAAGCAAGATAAGAGCTTCAGAGTTATAGATCAAGGAGTTGGGCCTTTTTGTTGTTCTACTCCCTGCCCCATTGTCTGAGTGTCCCCACCACCTTCCTGCTCCCAGCCAGCCTCCTGCTGGGGCTGGTCAGTGTTTCTATCCCAAGCAGCACAGGACTTGCTGTCACTCAGGGGGTGCCTTGCTAGGGCATGAAATACAAGCCGTGAGCAGTGATGTCTCCCAGCCTGGTTCAGAGGGGACCCTGGGTGGGCAGTGGAGCTGTGCACATCACGAAGGGGAAGTGCTTGCAGGGACTGCAGAGATACATCTATGCAGGGATTAAACAGCAAGGAGCCAGAGATGCTGTTCCTTAGAGAAGGCACTAATTCAGCTGGAAATCCCATATGGGCTGCCAGGCAATGTCCCCACCATGAGCCATTTAAGCCAGTGATGGAGGCACAAGGCTGCCCAACACCACGAGGGTGCAACAGGGTGAGTAGTGTAGTGCTGTGCCACCCAGTGCAGAGCAGTGGGCAGACCCACAACACACCATGTCCCAGCGGCCACTGCCCTGGACCGACCCACCAGGATTAAGGAGCCTGCAGGAGCAAGTAATTTAAATCCAGATTAGATTTAAGCAGCTGCTACGCAAAGGGGATGTACGCAGGGGCTGCGCAGTGAGGAGGAGCAGGTGAGAGGCTGAGTGGCACCCCTGTGATGCAAGGGACTGCCAGGGCAGGGTCTGGCCTGCAGGTCTGTGCCCCTGGGGTATTGCACAGAGGGACGGATTTTGTCCCCAGGTTTGGCTTGTGAACGCCAGGCTGGAGGCAGCAGTGCTGCACCGTGGGACAGCGAACCCCACGGTGAGATGCTGCTCGCCATGGGAACAGAGCACACTAAGGAGGACAAAGCATGGGGACATGTTGGGCTGCTCACTCCGTAGGTGCCGAAGAGAGGCTGACCCTCCGTGGGGGGCTACAGAGCATGTTCCACCTCTTCTCCCACTGCTGGTCGTGGCTGCAGGCCATACAGGAGCCCATCAGGTAGGTGCCTCTGCGTGCTTCTTGGGGCTCCCAGGGGGCACGACATTTACCCATGTGTTTACCAGTGATGAGGGCACCAAAGGGGTAAAACAGGGTGAGAGCAGTGCCCATTGCAGGAACTGTCTCCCAACTGCTGAGCAAGGACATGTGTGTCCTTGCTGTTCCCCCAGCAGGCAGGAGCTGGCAGGCAGGGGAGCAGTCTGGGCAGGGGTGCGCATGTGAGGAACACTTCCAGCAGGATTCCCCCTGTGCAGAGTCAGCAGCTTCCCAAAAAACGTTTGGGTGGACGAACTGAAACACCTGTCTTGTTTGCACGTGTCAGGAGGCTCGAGTTAATTCCTTGGGGACAACACTGCAAAGGAGGTTTATGGCCTTCTCCCTCCAGAGAGGACACATTACCTGCCGTAATTCTGCTGGTGGAGCTGTGCCACACACACAGCCTGGTCCATATGTTTAAGGAAGAAAATGATACTGCAGATGACAACTGTGGCTTGTCAGCCACAGGGAAAATGTTCTGTTCATGGCTCTGGTGTTGCTAGAGACCAAATAGGACTGTTCAGCAACAGGAAAAACCACGTGAGTCCAGGCAGAAGCTCATAAAAATGTCCTTGCTGCCTCTCCCTAGCTGTGTATACTCAAAACTTACTGCCAAGGAAGGAGTAATCATTGACTGCATATAAGGAAGAATTGTGTTGACCTGTGCACATCGTTGTTTAATCCTATATGATATGAAAATAAATCATTGCCATAGGAAGGGTCTTGAAGTCTGTGCAGTGTGCCTGTCCCATGGTGTTGGGGTGACTTCAGGCACCTGTGCCTGCCCTTGCCCTCTCCCAGACACCACAGACTGTCCCTGCCCTTGCCTCTGGCTCAGCCAGAGCCTATATCACTGTCCTGTCCCTCTCCTGGCTGAAGTGCAGCTCCCATGGGCAGGGGATCTTGCCTGGGAGCCTGGGGGCCAGCAGTGGTCACCACTCCCCATGGAACACAGCCTTTCTCTGGGATGCTCACCTGCAGTCTTCTCTCCCCAGGAAGGTGACCCTCCTTGTCATGGGGCTGGACAACGCAGGGAAAACCTCCGTCATCACGGACATAGAGAGAGGTGAGCAGCATTAGTCCCAGACCCAACCTCGTCTGGAGGCAGCAGCTTTATGGTCCTTTGCAACCAAGTGCCCAAGCCTTGAAGTACCACAACCCTTGAAACACAGCTGCTGTGCTGGGGAAGTGTGCAACTGGGCAACCCTGGGAGTGGGAGTGGGGATGTGGCAGTGGGAGGAGGACGCACATGCCGCAGGGATGCTCCTAGGCTCCCTGTGCCAGCTCTCTGCCCTTTCCCCACATGCAGCACTGGCTGTCGAGGTGCTGCCCAATGCACAGCCTGGCCAGACCTGCTTGAGGGTGGACAGGTTCGAGGTGACACTGGTGGACCTGCCCGGGGGCCAGCGCTCCCGCAGCACCTGGCGCAGCCACTACAGCGCGGCACACGGGCTGCTCTTCGTCCTGGACTCCACTGACCTGAAACGGATAGAGGAAGCCCCCAAGGTCCTGAGCCGTGTCCTGAGCCATCCCGACATCTCTGGGAAGCCTCTCTTACTGTAAGGCCGAGTCCCTGGGATGCCACCTCTGGGGTTTGGGGTGAGGGGGTGAGTGGGAACCTGTTGCTGGAGTTATGGGGTGTGTGGTTGGGCTGAGGTTGGGACATGGTACCCAGGAGACTGTCAGGGCGTGCCGGGAGTCAGGTGGGGGTTGGTCTCTTCTCCCAGGCAACCAGCAGCAGGACAAGAGGGCACAGACTCAAGCTCTGCCAGGGGAGGGTTAGGTTGGATATTAGGAAGAGATTTTTTACAGAGAGAGTGATCAGGCATTGGAACGTGCTGCCCGGGGAGGTGGTGGATTCACCATCCCTGGAGGTTTTCAAGATGAGACTGGATGTGGCACTTAGTGCCATGGTCTAGTAACGGCGGTAGGGTTGGACTTGGTGATCTTTGAGGTCTCTTCCAACCAGGTTGATACTATGATTCGATGATTCTATGACCCCAGTGATGCACAGGAGTTGGGAGCATCCTTGGAGAAGGGCTGGGGAGGGGGCTCCAGTGCCAAGCAAGTGCTGAGGCAATGCTTCACCTAATTGCAGCCAAACCGGGAGAAAACACCCAACCTCCCCCGCTGTAGCGTGGCGAGGCACCCAGAGCCCGGGGTGACGGCCAC